TTTTTCTTTACTATGTAAAAATCCAATCTACCATGCAGATCATATGAAAAATGATCTACGTACACCCTACCCTTAAGCAAATATAAAGATAAGTGGGTTTGGCAAGTGGGCTAGTAATAAGTTGCCCATATTTTTTTTTTTCGAAAAAAAACTGTTTAACATACACGCAATTTATTCTCAAGTAATGTATTGTTTATTGATATGCTATAAGTCGAAGACTCTGCGCTTCAGAACATAATGCACTTTTTGCTTTTTCTTTTATGAGAATGACGTTTCACTAACTATGGGTTTTTCATAATAGGAAACACAGAAATGGCTAATAATATTGCTCTCAATTTTCGCATTAACGGTGGTGGAATTTTTGAACTTGATAATGTTAATCCAACAATAACTGTCAGAGCACTCAAAACTATGATTAGAAATGGGAACTATGTTACTTCTACTATTTTCGAACTTTATAGAAATGATTTTGCAAGAGAGGTAGAAGAAAATATGAAAGATGAAGCTACTGTTGGTGCATATTTCAACGGGATTCCTGATTCAAATAGAATTCACATTATTATAAGATGATGTATAATATATTTTTTTTATTTGTATTCGCACTATGTAAAACGATATTTTTTATTTGTATATTATCGTTCCGGCAATAATTTTTATAAATAAAGAAGGGGTCCGCCGGGCTCTTAATTTTTATTTTTACGCGATTTTTTATAGCAATTGACTATGATTTTTGGTTACTAATTAGAAGATTACTAGCTCTGTGTAGCAATTATGACATTTATTTAAAGTATCAAATCAGAGTTGCAACAATAATTCAAAAACTCATAAGCATCTGATTTGGATATTTACGGAAAAACAGGATGATATTCCAGGATCAATTTAAAACATAATTAAAAGCTTCTTAATAGGGATTTTAAACTTTATTGTATGTAAAAGGGAAGTAATATATAATCCTATAGAATCCATAAATCATATCATCCCACCCGAATTTAATAAATTGGACCATCAGGTGTTATAAATGTTGGAAGTAAGTTATTACAGTCTACTAGATTTGGAGGGGTGGTAGGGTTGTCTTTTTTGAGTAACAATTGATTAATCGAATGAATTCTCCTAACAACATTAGCTATTAATTTGTTTGCCATTAATATTCCTTTACACAATTTATTTACCATTTGTATTGTCCTTCGTTCGTTGCTGTTTATGAGTGGTATCTCTAATGACTTTACCAGGCACATTCGATTAAACGGTTTCATTTTACGATCTAAGATATATATATCCATTTTTGTTCCATAAAAATGTATCATCACATGGTTCAATTCATCCATCATCTCCTTTAATAATTGATCCGAGGCATCGATTCCCTGAGTTAAGAGATATACATTATTCCATGAGTCTTTCGAAAATTTTCCAAGTCGTAATTCATCTCCCCAATAATGGTCCCAATCAAGTGCATACGGTCCATTGCTTATTTCACAAAACATGAATTCCCATTTATAATTAGGTGATCTAAAACTCTTAGATACCATTAAGTCGGGAAGACGTGTTGGTCCGGACTGTCCTCCGTTCCGATTTTGGGTGGATTTAGATGGTCCTTGTTGTTTAATAAATCAACAGGAGAAAAAAATCAAAATTAAAGTTTTTAACAAAAATTTATAGACAAAAAAATGATAATTACCATTATATTCGATATTGACCCCTTTAATGTTATACAATAATAAATCACAAACAGACTTAATCACTTGATGCGAATATGAACTTTCGTTAATTTTAGAAGATTTTTGTATATACAAAGGTAGTTCCCAAGCACATTCCAGTTGATTCAAAAACATTTCTAAGCAACTATAAAATTTTTTGGCGTCCTCTCGACTGTTAGGTGCGGTACAGTATCCATGTTTAATATGATTGCATATAAAATTTTCTTCCTCAATCGTCAAATTCGTTTTATATTGATTTCGTTCAGCTTTACTCCATAATAATTCCTCCAAACAGTCTTGCTCTACAATGAGATCAAACAATCGTTTATGGTACTTTTGTAAAAAAGTATGGTTAACAATGCCATTGGTAAGTAGATCTTGTGGACTTAATTTTTCATTTTGTATGTTATCGCAGATTATTCTCACAATTGTTGGCATGCGTGGATATATCGTTACGAGCTAGTAAAATAAAGATTAATTTTATTCAATATAACTTAACAAATATCATAATAAGCTTACATTTGAGATTTTACTTTTAATCTCATAGCTGTTAAATTCTACTAAAGAAAAATCTTCAGATTCCTCGCTTGTGGTATCTCCTATATCATCAATTGAAGCAATCGAATCCTTTTTCTCGCCAATATTATCATCAGCATTATCTTTCGAATTATAACTATCTTCGTCGCTATTAATTACTTTTTCGTTCAAATTATTATCATGATCATCATAATTGTCGGAAAACCTCGCAATTATTTCATGAAATTCTTTTGGGATTTTCCACCAATCTTGAAGAATAGATTTATATTTATTCTAAAAAATATATATAGTGGATATCATTAATTAATATTGTAAACTGCTATTTTATAAATTTGTTCGAGTCTCCAATATCATGCACTCATAAGGTACAAGCCTATTCAAATCTTAAATGCATTCCTTTGGACCTTACTTGAAGCTTAGTCTTTCAGATTCTGACACGGATCATACTTGACGCGCAGTCTTTCAAATCCTACCCCATGAGATATGTCTTAATCTTACTTGACACGCAGTCTTTCAGATTCTGACATGGATCATACTTGACGCGCAGTCTTTCAAACCCTACCTCATGAGATATGTCTTTCTCGAACCTTACTTGACACATCGCATTTACTTTCTGCAGGCTTGCAAATTTTGCGTTCTAATCATATATATTTCCGACACTATTAAAACAAAAAAAAGATACGTACCATTACCCAGTCACGTTTTGCCTTGAGAAGTTGTTCTTTTTTAGGAAAGTCATTATTTATAGAATCTATAAGAACCTTTTTATAGTCCATATGCTCTACAGACTTATCATATGTAAATGTTTCTAACCGAATCTTGCTATAAAAGTAATTAAAAGGATTTGGATATTCAGTAGAAAATTTTTTAAAATATTCGATATTAGAAGACATTTTTTCTTAGTAGAAAATGGTCGTACATTCACCTTTTTATAGTTTCCATTACGTTAGCGTTAGCGTTAGTAACCCTAAATTTAGAATCCCAAAGTGGAAATGAGGATGCACTGTTTATTTCAGAAAAATGAACATCAGCACATGAAATGCAATCATATTAAATTAACGTTAACGCAAAAAATTAGAAATATGCTGTCACAAGACGATTGACCGAATTAACTACGATAACTATGATCCTAAATTATGCATAATAATCCCCGTAAGATGATACAGATACTGTAAATTACGTATGCATTAACGAATATCTTTATTACGTGCGAAGAAACTTTATCGTTATTATTTATGTCTGAAGAAGCGTGACATTGATGTACTGTATAGCAAGATTTTACAAATTCTGCTTACTATCTTTATCGTTATTACCTCGCTAATTCTAATTTATTTTTATTTATTGCGCTTGCAAAAAGATGTGACCTCTGCAGATCACGATGTCATGTGGGAATAGGAGATTCTATCGATTTTAAGAAATTTATCAATTTCAAAGAAAGATGAATATAACTGATCGAAAATATGAAATCAAAATCTCAGCAATTTGCCCCGATCATCATCACAAAAATCATGTGGCCACATCTTTTTGCAAAACGCTATAATTATTCGAGGACATAATAGATTTCTTAGAGAATTACATTCACATCGCTTATATATTCCATCCGCTACTTTTTACACGTTTTGCAATATAGGTGTGAATGATGATTGCATTCCTCACAAACCTTACACCCGTGGCTAAAAATTTTTATTATACGTATAAACCTATAATGTGTGTTTGTGACCCGTTTATGCATAATGATAAGCCTTGTAAGGTATTATAGTTCAGATAAATTTATACGTAACTTATGCGAAATTTATTCTAACACGTTATCGCATTCACATCGCTTATATATCCCATCCGCCACCTTTTTGCATGTTTTGCAATATAGGTGTGAATGATGATCGCATTCGTCACAAACCTTACACCCATGTTTCCATCCTCT